GGGGGAAGGAGGCATGCCCTCCCATTCCAATGACACCACCTCCATCGATTTGCTTAATGCAGTTGCTAAGGAAACGGGCCACAGATATTAAAAGGCACTCGGTTCCCGGGGGGACGACAACACAGGGAGGGGACAGGACGCTGGGCACTGGCTAAACATCCAGGATGGGGATGACTCAGACTTGTCCTCTGCGCCCCACACGCATGCCTGCCCCATAGCGACGACCATGGCTGAACTACCCAAGGTCCCGCAATCCTCTCCTGGGGAAGATCTGGGGCAACAGGTCCAGCTGCCCCATTTCCAAGCTGGTGGATAAGTCCAGCTGTCTCACTGGGAGAGCCAAGGGGAGACAGGGAGCGGGGCTGGGGGAACGGGCTGGGAGCGGAGGCTGTGATGTAGGGTGCCCGAGACACTGCCAGACCCACAGGCAGCACAGCAACAGGCAGGAGAGGAGGGGATGCTGGGGCTGGGGACCCAGCGGGACCAAGGGACCCAGCCAAGGTCACACAGCAGTTAGAGGCAGAGGGCGAACCCAGGCGTCTGCGTGCCTCGAGCACACATCCACACACAGCCATCGGGGCTATATTTAGCTCCTACACTTTTTTTTAAACAGCATCCCAGTCCTTGCCTGGCTGTTTGATCACAGGCCACAGGGACTACCAGGGAGCCAGGTGCCGGCCGGTCCCTGTCCCATCACCAGGGCTCAGCACTCCTCGGGGTGCTGGGCTTCCCCTGGGAATGCCGCTGGCACTGCCCACCCCTGGGTGGACAAGTCCCACATGGGGCGTGACACGAGACCAGTCCCAAGTCCAGCATCAGTGTGGCAGGCAGGGACCAGGCTGCCCCCCTGCCACCACTGCTCCCCATCCCGCTTTGTCCCCCCCAGGAGCAAGGCCAGCTGCCCAAGGTACAGGTGGGGTGGCCATGCCCAGGCTATGGGGCCGACCCCCTACCCAACTCTAGGGTCCTCCTGCCCCCACAAAGGGCTCTGCAGATGGGACCAGAAAGCCCATTTTCTTCCTTGTTGTCTTTGTACTGTGAAGGAAATATGTCACCAGGGGAAGAATCGTCACTCTGGGATACCCACAGGAGGAAGGGGATGGCGGAGGTGCTGGTTGATGCTGGCCAGAGTTCCCAGTAGGGCTGCCCCACACCAACCCCCCAGGGCCCCATTCCCAGCCCAGAAGGCTGCAGGTCTGTCCCCTGGCAGGGGACAGAGAGGGCTGGTGGCATGGCCAGGCTATTTAGCAGTTCAGTGCCACCAGGCTCAGCATCTGCCCGCCTGGGGCACGCTCCCAAGGCTCCGACACCAGCAGAAGATGCCAGCGATGCATCAGAGGCGGCTTGGGGAGAGAGATGAAAGTCCTCCCTGGGGGAACATCCCTCAGGCTGGAAGTTTTTCAAACCTGACGTATCCTTTTCTTGGAAAGAGGTGAGTTTCCAGGCACTGAGCCTGGATTTCACCCGGTTGGCTCCCGGCTTTGCCCCTGTTCCAAGCCAGTCCCTTCAGGGACAGGGCAGCACTGGCCTGTTGCACTCTTGGAGGAAGTTTCCCACTGACACCAACTGTATTTTTAAAGCTTTTTTTCTTTCTGAGCCCCTGTTGCAACCCATCACCTCCTCAAGCCTCCAGCTGATGCCTGTCCTGCACGCCATGGGGCTATTTATGTAACCTAATTTTGGCCAGACACAGCGGTAGAGGAGCCCTTCCAGCCTGAGCCAGGACTTGTCCCAGCAAAGACGGCTTGGGGCAGCTCCTCTGCAAAGCGAACCCGCTCAGCCCACATGAGCAGACCGTTGTTGGCCCCTTGTGTGTCTCCGCTGGTGTCGTGGGATGGTGGGGCCGAAGGGCACAGTGGCAGGCCAGCCACCGAGCAACAGCTTCCCTGCCTGCCCTTGTGCCTGTCCCGTGCCAGCCGGTGTCCCCGACGGAGCAGCAATAAATCACCCACCGGCCGCCGTGTCAGGATTACTCATTTCCGTGCCGGAGCCATTAATAAAAGCCCTCTGCTGTCCGCTGCCAGCATGACACAGGATCCCACCAGGACTGGCATAAGCAGCTGGTGCCAGTCCCACGTCCCCATGCTGCACATCGTGCCACAGCCCAGCTCCCAGCACCCCCAAACTCACTAGGGTTGCTTGCCCAGAGCACATCCCCGAGGGCAGCTCCAGACGGGCTGGGGGTGTCAGGGTACCACCCCCTCCGCTCACCCACATCCCCAGGGCTGCTGCTCCATCCGGAGCTGCCCCCAGGATGGAGGAGACACATGGGACCACACGTGAGGCTTTGCCCGTGGAGCCAGACCCGCAGCCGCCTTGCAAGGGATGCTTGAAAGGCCATCCAAAACATATGCACCCAGACAGAAGTGGGACAGGGCTTAGCCCCCCATCTCACCAAGGGACATCGCTCCCAGGGGTGGCTCCTCACCTCTGCAGCCAGCCAGCATTTGGCCACGCCGTGGGAAAAGCCATGAGGCCCTGGCTAAGCTGTGCAGTGAGAGGTCACACGGATGGATGGAGAAACACACTCTCCAGGCAAAAGAGGCGCTGGACATCCCCAGACAAGTGGTGCCAGTGCCACCTCTCCTGCCCTGCCCTTTGCCTTGGGAATGTCACCCTGCAAAGCCCCCAGCACACACATCCTACTACAGTGGGGCTTGGAGAAACCCCTCACTGGGGAAACTGGGACCCCCACCACATCCCAGAGCTCCCCAAAAAAACAGAGGAGCAAACATGTAGGTCATGCCCAAAGGGACCAAGAGCCCCAAAATGCATGCTGAGGCCCCAGCCTCAGCACCGGGCACACCTCACAGAGCTGGAGGTACCGGGGAGCCCATCTGCATCCCCGTCCCGCAACAAGGGACAGCAGTACCCGGACGCCGACAGCACAGCGGAGACGGATGCCCCCAGAGCAGCCCTGGTCACTGCTGTGGCTTGGCCATGGCTGCCACCAGCTGTTCTCACACACAGCGGGGCAGGACCAGGGCCAGGAGGAACAAATAAAGTCACACAGGAGGACATCAAGGTACCCCAGAGAGGCAGACAGGGGATCCCCAAACCCCCTTTCCCATACCAAAAGCCCAGCTCGCCTTGCCACCTAGCTTGTGGAAGGGGACAGGACGGGCCAGTGTCACCCTGTCCCCCTGCGTCCCCAACCCCCGTACCTTCGATGCCGCTGATGATTTTGAAGCAGCGGGTGGTGAACCAATAGGAGATGAGGAGGAGGATGGCAATCAGGGAGGCATAGAGCAGGCTGTCGTTGTGCAGGGATGTCCTCTCCATGGCTCCATCCCCTGTGCCCGCTCGCGCCCCCCGCCCGGCCCCGCCACGCTATCTGGGTCAGCCCTGTCCCGGCAGTCCCCCGCCAGAGGAGCCGGCCACGGCGGGCAGGGAGGCGGGGGGCCACGCAGGCAGGCAGGCAGGTAGGTAATTGGGAGCGGCGTGTGAGAGCCAGGCTCCCAAACCAATTACCTTAATTGTGCTCAGGCAGCACATGGCAAACAGTTAAAAATAACCCTCCCGGCCCGGAGGGAGAGTGGCACCATCAGCCAGGAGAAGGAAGCATGGGGCAGAGGACGGACGGGGCTTGCTACACATGTGGCTGAGTCTCCATGCCACGGGGCCAGCAAAGCTATCGCCGCAGCCTCACGGCTGCTCTGAGTTCATCAGTGACCCCAGAAACCTCCGGGCTCAGCCCCTTGCTGCCACCCTGCAGGAAGAGCTGGGAGTCCTGGAAACTGGGCTCCCTGGGGAATGATGCCGCAGCCCAGGATTGGCAAATGCCAGGATCTCCGCTGGGATGCCGGCACCCGTCCTTGCTCCAGACACCGGGCCTCGAAGAAAGGCATCTCCGCAGTCCTGCTGGCCCGCAGAGCTGGGTCTGGCAGAGAGGCGCTGCCATCTCATCCCCTGCGCCCCAGCACATCACCTCCCCAGGGATCAGCCTCCCCTTTTCTCAGCTTGGAGACGGAGCCAACCAGCCCGGTTCCTGCTCTGCAACACCAGGGGCACTGGGGCAGTGCTACTGTGAATTTGGCCACACTCACTGGCAGACCCCAAACCCCACGGGATTAGCTGCACCCGGGCATGAGATACCTCTGGTCCCCCGACCACGCTTGGCCTCATCGGCTGCCCCATGGGACACGTGGCTGGGGAAGACGCCAGTCCCAACTGTTTCACCTTGACACCTTTTTGCATACAAGACATCCCACCCCACCCCTGCAGCTACATCCAGGGGACATGGCCACCCAGGTGTGGGGTGAAGAGCACAGCATCACCCCAGCTGTGCCCCTTTTGGGGCGCAGAGCCCAGGCATCCGGGTCCATCCCCCCTTCTCTTCTCTCTCCCCCAAGACCAGCTGCTCTGAGCATCCACAGGGGACACAAGACAGAGTGGCAAGTGGCATGAGCTCACACCTTGGTGCTTGGGAGGGCGGCAGGCCCTGTAACGCTGCCCCAGGCACAGCTGTGGCAGGATGGGCAGCCCAGGCTGGCACCGAGTCTGTGCCGCCTGTCCCATTTTGGGCTGTGACAATAACAGCCGTGAAGCATCCCTGGTCCAGCCACCCCCACCCTGGCTCTCCTGTGCTGCCGGCAGCGTAGCCCTGTCACCCTGCTAAAATCAACCACTCCCCGCTAGCCACCCGCTGTGTATAAATAGAAATGCCCGGGAACAGGGTCTGTTGCCCAGAAAGCAGCTCCATGCACACAGTATGCCATGGGCACGCATGGGGCAACACCCAGAGCTGTCAGGTAGCCAGGTGGCTGGTCCCTGTCCCCATCCTTCCAGCACCACCAGCAGTTGGGCATGGGGGGACTGTCCCCCATTGCGGGATGAGGAAGGGAGTGGGGCAGTCACCCATCACCGAGGGACCTGTCTCTTTGGGAGGGGACCACATACCTTGACCACAGCCAGGCTCTGCCCTGCTTGGGAGCCACCTCTGTGGCACAGCCCAGTGCTGCAGGGTGCTAGGGCACTACCTCCCCAAAATGTGCCATGGGACCAGCTGGGCCACAGCAGAGGTTATGGTCCCAGGGCACAGCTGGGCAGCAGCTGCCCAGGCCCCTCGGCTGCCACTGACCCCCCGGGGGGGGTGCAGCCTGATGGATAGAGCCTCTCCTTTATTTTTTTGGTTCTCGGGGCCATCATCCATTAGGGAGAGTTAAATTTAGGTTACAGCTGATCCCTTATTACCTCGCTGCTAATCAGAGCGCGAGTAGATTATTAATAAGCACATTAAAATATTGGCGAAACTCTATTTTTGGGAGGTGAAGTCACAGTTTTAATCTGGTTAATTGATTGAGTCATTTCTCTTTCCCCCCATCGGCGACCCGTCCTTGGCTACCTCCCCAGGGCACCCAGACTGGGGGGCACCCCACCCCGCGGCCCGCCTGGCTGGGCCCCCAGTGCCCTCTGCGGTGAGCTCTGCAGGACCTCCTTTGCCTCTGCAGGGAGGACGGAGGTGCTCATTGCCCCCCAGAAGGGACCAATGGGGGAGGATAGAGGCTGGAGGGGGTACAGCATCCCAGTGACTCTTGTGCCACATGGACCAGGGTGGTGGCTGGAAAGGAGGGGATGCTGCAGAGGGGAAAAGGCAGTGCAAGCCCCACATCCCGCTCCCAGCCCCAAGCTCTGAGCTTCAGGGGAGCACAGACCTGCCCGGATCTGGGTTCCACCCCACTTTGGCTTCTGCCACAGCTCAGGAGGACACCGAGAAGAGAGTGAAAAGCGGTAGCCGGCGCCCCACTGCCAGCCCTGCCTCCGTGCCCATCCCCGCTCCATGCAGCATGACCACCCTGCACATCCCAGTGGGGCTGCAGGGACAGGACGGGACCAAGCCCTTGGGGCCGCTGGACACCACACATGGCCAGCCCACCAACCTGGTCCCAGGGGGACACCCACCACAGCCCCAGCCCCATAGTGCTCAGCTGAAAAGTCCAGGGCGCTGGGACGAGGACCTATAGGACATCCTTACAAGTGGTGGGTTCAGGAGCACCCCAAGGTCCCCTTCCCGCTCCACTCCATCACCTGCAGCTCTGCCCCTCGCACCCAGGGTTGGACTCAGCTGCCTCATCCTCTGCCCGCTCCGCTCTGGGCTAGTTGGCCAGTGCCCGATGGAGCCAACTAGCGGGGACAGACCCGGTGCTGCCTGTGGGCACACCCAGCCTCTGGCGCTTGGCATGACACTCAGCCAGGCACACGCTTACCCTTACACCTCTTCCCCTGTTGCCATGTTGTGAGCTGACATGCAACCCTGAAGGGTCCATGGGGCCGCGAAGTGATGGGAAAGGCCCGCAGGGAGGGTCTCCCAGGGCCAGGTGACCCTCCATCGCAGGGCTCTGGTCCCCGTGGGCAGGGAGATGGCACGGCAGCTGGGCACTGCTCACAGGGAGGATGCTGCTCCCGTGTCCCAGTCCCCAGCGCTCTGCCAAGAGCATCCCCAAGGTGCCCCTGCCATCCCCTGGTCCCAGGGACGGGCGCAGGCTGGGGCGACCAAGGGGTTTCCCCGGGTGAGGAGGGAACAGAGCCTGGGAGGATTTTTCTGGACAGGCTGGGCCCCGGTGAAGGCGGTGCAAGTCCCAGCCCCGCTCCAAGGTGTGACGCTGCCACATTGGCCCAACAAAGCCTCCCCCTCACTCCCGGCACAGCGCGTCCCTCCCCAGCACTGTTGTGGCCCAAAGGGGTAGCCTGGGGGTCCCCGGAGGGGCCAGGCTATGGGGAGGGCAACCTGCCCCCAGCATGGGGGCATGGGGAGAGGGGAAGGAGCCAGGCACCCAGGGTCCCAGCACACACAGGCATATAATGACCTCCTTGAGATGTGCCCATTGGGGTCAGGAGGTGGGTCTGGGCTCAAACCCAGGAAAGGGGGTCCTGGCTAGCCAGTTGGGCTGCACAAGGGCTGGCAGGGGGATGCGGGTCCTGCCATGGCTGTGACGGCAAACTGGGGGGAGGGTCACAGCATGTCGGTCTGTCCCCAGGACCCATCAGCATCCCAGGATATGAGCAGGGGTGGATGCAGACACCGGGGTGTGTCCCTGCCCCCAGCCCGTGCGCACACCCAGGGCTTCTCCGGATGGATGGATGGAGGGCGCAGCTCTGGCCCCAGAGGAGGCAGATGCCTAGCAGGGCAGGGAAGGGTCCGACCAGCTGTGATTTATTTCCACAGCAGTTTTCTCCCTGCACCAGTCCCCTCCCCAAATAAAACATTCCCCTCACCCCAGGTCCACAGGGGACATTCAGGGGCTCTCATTGCTTCCCGTGAGCATCCCCTCCGCCTGGGGCTGAATTGCTCAGCATCGCTCAGCACTGCTCAGCACCTAAACAGCATTTCTCCCCCTCCCCAAATAACCCCAAAGAGCCCACCAGGCAGAAACCCCCTCCCGCAGAACAGAGCCCCCCATGTCCCCCAAGGGCAGCACCTACCTTGGGAGAGGGTCCCGGTGACAAACTGGTAGAAGAAGCGGATCACCCGGCCCAGCTGCCTCTTGCAGCGCTGCTGGCAGTGGCTCATGGCTCCAGCTCACAGCGCTGGGGAGGGACCCAGTCGCACCCCCTCCTGGCTGGCAAACAGCCCCCCAGCTCCTCCGAGCAGCAGGCGATGCCCGGGGAGAGCACAGAGCCTTCCTTGCCCGGAGCGAGCCCGCGGGCATCGGCGGCAGGTCCA